AGGCCTGTCCATCTCCCTACTGCCTTTCCTGTGGAGCTGGGACACTTTTGGGGCTCGTTAAACAGCCGTGTCGCACGCTGCCTTTTTGTTGAAAGGGCCTTTTCTCATTGGTTTTCAGTATCAGAAGCATAAGTAATACTGAGCTCATGCCCCTCCATTTTCTGGTGGGCAGCCCTGGGACAACCAGAGAAGAACCCTGGAAGAAATGGGACGAAGGGCATGAAGAACACAACAGGAATAGTCTTGGGGGGAGGAGGTGGGGGGAAGAAATCTCCATCTCAGTTACTTTGCGGTGAAAAAAGTCTTGTGAAGCTGGAGGAAGTATTTTCTGCTAAATTAACCAGATGTTACCAGCAGGGTCTCTCTGGGAACAGCAGTGCTGCTGCCAGCAGAGCGACACACAAGGCAAGGAGCATCAGGCACCGGGCAGCCCGCCCGGCCCCAGGCAGCACACAGCACAGCTCAAAGGCAGCCACAGCACTAAAACTAGGGCAGGCCAAACGGGAAATAAAGGAACCTCTGTCTCTTTGACAAAACACGTATTTGCTCACCCACACCTTTGAAAAATCACTGCACTTTATTAAGGATTTCTCTACACCCACCGAAAGGAAGAAAAGACAACACTTCACTTTCTAAGGTCACTTTCATTGTTCTTTTTTACTCCCATTATCTTTTCTACCCGAGGCAGTAAAACATCCTCCTATCATTTCACTGTGAAATTATGACAACCTTTATCTGTTTACAGTGCAGAAGTGCTGTGGGGCCACACTCGCCCTGCCATGGAGGAACACATCTGCTCTGAATGTGACAAGAGGTGTGGTGGTTGTTCTGATCCCTCTCCATCACAAGTCACATCCATGAGGTCTTGGAGGCACAGTTAAAAGCTACCACAACAGTGCAGAGCTGTTGCAATGCACACATTGCTGGAAGCCTTTGTTCAATTCAGTTCCAAGTTTGTAATATTTAAATTACTTGGTAGGCTTTTCCTGAACAAGAGTTGATATTGGTTTAATGGCTGAAATTACGTCAGTGAAAGAAAAAACACACAAAGAAACTTGCCGGATGAAAGAATTTCATCCCTGCTACCATACCCCGCAATTTCTTTTCCTGTGAAGGGAAGCTCCTCTAATCTAAGAGTCACCTTTTGGCAAAGTACCCTAGAGTATTTTTAACAACCATGACTTAAAATAATTTCATTTCCACGGGCAAAGAAAATAATTTGTTTTGAATCTCTGAGTACAGAACTGGTAGAACTCAGAATTGCCAATAAATGTGCAGAAGATGCCCTGCCTCCATTCATGGGAACAGAAAAAGCGTCATCATGAAGAGGTGGGTAGCAATTAGGACTGGTACAGGAACTGAGAAAGCCAGAAATATACCAAATATTAGCAGATTTACACATCATCCATTCCTACTACCCCAAATATCTGCTGCCAAATGTTGCTGGGGCTCTGATTCTGCCCTCCAAATCACACCAGAGCTTCCTGGTACAATGCACCCAGAGCTTTGTGTGAGGGCACTGTAACAACCAGAACACAAAACACTTAACAACTAAACAGCTTCATCATACTGTATTACAAACTGGATTCACCTTGGGGAACAGTATGTGTATACTGATTGGCAAAATTTGGCCCATACTCTCATTCTTAATAATTGCAATTTACTTCAGAAACAGACCTACTTATTTTGCTTTTCTAACTCAGTAATTTTTCTTGTTCTTTCTTCAACACTTTAGCAAAATTATGCCCAACTCACTATCTTCCATCTTCAAGGCAATTGTTAGGTAGCAAACTCTTTAAAATCATCTAGCAAATGGGAATGAGCATCAGACAACATCTATTTTCTCTGAAACACAAAGCCCCTCTTTCCCTAGCATATATTTACCAAAACTACTCTTGCAATCCATTAGTCTTCAACTCCAATTTCATTTTATTTTTTTCCTAATCACCTGATTAAAGATCCCACAAACAATTTCAGACTGCCACCTGATGTAGCTCTCACTGCAACAGTTTACTTGGCTCCAGCAGTCTCAAAATGCCCCCTACAGAGTTTATTGCTGGTTATTAATCTTTAAGACAGCTTTATGTTCTTTGTTAACAACTTATTTCTCTAAAGATGAAAAGAATACTGTCACAATCACAGGTTTTGTAGGCACATAACATCAGAACGTTTGAAAACGAGGGCAGAAGTTTGCTTCTGAGGTCCAACAAGGATTATATTTCTTTCTCAAATTCTATATGGAAACAAGTTCCATATCCTCTCCCTCATCTACACTGCCTGGATAATACACATTTCCAATTCAAAACAAGCAAAAACAAACCCACCAATAGGGGCATTACCACGCATCATTCCAGCAGACGCTGGAAGATATCAGTCTGAGCAATTTGCATGCTTTCCAACCTCCTTTCTGCCTCTAAATCGCAGCATAATGTAGGTCATTTTTAATGAGGAGCCTTGCATGTGGCTTCCCCCACACACTACACAGCAACTAGACACTTCTGAGTTCACGTTCTCCCTGCATCACTGCTGTATTTTGTCATTTTTCAACAGGTTTGGCTTTTGCCCACAAGACTGCGGACTTTCATACAGCAAAGTCTCTTGGCTGCCTCATTAACTCCAGATCGGTGTGTGCTCTTGCATTTTACTGTACCATTTCCACCAGCATTCATTATGCTGCAAACAGCCTCTGGCGAGAAACTTCTTAAAACATCATGATGAAATTGTTTTCTAGACAACATACAAGTCAATTATAATGCAATTAAAAGATAGGCTAATCTATTCCTTTGTTTGGCAGTGGTATATCAGTTAACATCATGGAGTGAGTTTATGGTATCTATGAAATCGTTTGCTATAAATTGTTTTCTACTGTCCACAGCACCTCTTTTTGCGTAGAAGATACAGGAATTATAAAACCTGTTCTCTTCCAGGCTTGGAAATGGAGAGAAATTAAAGTGGTTTGAACTGGGCACGGCCTGCCAGGCTGGCAGTGCTTCTGAGGGGTGCTCAGCCTGCTCTGGGCTGGCTGTGCAGCCTGCCTTGCATTCTGCATGGCAGCAAGGCCAGCAGGCTTCGGCAGCCCTGTGCTGTTCTGCATTCTGGATTTAAATGATATTTCCCTGCAAGTCAGCGTGCATCACCTGTTTGTCTAAAACTGCTAGAACAGGCACTTTGCATCCAAGGATGCTGAGCTGTTGGAGATGTGTCCTTCGTCCACACCTTCCCTCTAGGCCCAACCACTTCTTTCCCTTGAGCTTCAGCTTTCTGTCATTAAAAGAGGGATAATTTTGCCTGCAGCAATGCTAATCTGCTCGATGCTTGCCAACACACGAAGACTATTCTAATAAGTGACATGTAAGCAGGACAGAGCCAACCAATGCTGCCTTCACACTTTCTCACAGACCTACCAGGCTTCACTTTGGGAGAGGAAAGTAGGTCACAACGCTAAGCAGTAGTTATGTGAGGGAGAAGAGGAACTTTCATCGTTAGCTGGGTACAAACACCCTTCTTTTTCCACATCAACACTCTTAAACGGACAGGCTGGGAAATGGGACTCTCCAGAGTCGAGTGTGCAGGCAGCATTTCTTCTCAAGCTGCTCCTTAATCAGCACGGGTTCAATACAAGAGGAATAATTCATGTGATGAGCAATTGATCCTTGCTTGGGAAGCCCCAGGGGAAAGTTTTAATTCTAGGGCATGCTCAAACAAGGGGCTGTTTCCTTTTGGACAGATGAAGGGATTCTGAAACCCATCCAGTCTACAGCCCTAGGCAGGATGCTCCGGCTGCAGGCACATGGCTCCCCCTACACGCACAGTAATTACTGGCTTTTCATTAATCGCTCATAACGCATGTGTGCACACCCACAAACCACACAGGCCACAGGATGTGGCACCAGCCCAGCTGCTGGAGCCTGGAGGTGAGCATACCAGCATGAACAGCATAACGATGGCCATGCATTAGTGCTCTACCGATGTCAATGAACATCACCATCAATTTAAACAGGTGCTTTGGCTGATTTATAAGCCACTATATAACCAAATACAGCACAGAGGGTGTTTGGAAAAACAAACATTTTAAATAAGAGTGACAAATATAAACGGATTATTATGGGATGATTTCTGAGGTAGCTCTCTCCCAGAACAGTAATATTTCAACACCCTCATCTGAGCAGGAACATGGGTAAACAGGCTGTAAATTTGTCTTCTTGTTCTACGTTTTGCACTCCTGCAAAAAAATAACCAATGATTTTTGAGCAAGATTGGAATGTTTTAACTTACGCTTCTGTAGACTGCTAGGGAAAAGCAGTCACCTCACAAGTTAATCTGGGGGGGACAAATTGAAAAAAGAAGGCACTAAAGGTATTACAGCAATTGTCAATTCAAGTGATGAAGATTCTTGCAGGAAATACTTCAGAACATTGTTTGGGGATGTAAAACAAAGTCAGGAAAAAAAAAAAAAAGCCTGTGTGTGGGGAAAACATCTTCATGCCTAATTTGTCACTCAACGCTGATGAACTCCAGTAGAAAAGCTGTAGAAAATTAATGCTAACCTGTAAACATTTCAACCATGCAAAATGGAATACGTACTTGGCATTTAAATCAAAAGCCCTAGTCTGCACATATCTATCTCCTTGTTCTCCATAAAAAGAATGTTTTTTCACCAAAGAGACCTCAGTGTTATCTACCTAGCACAGGAGGTGGGTTTAAGCACTGTGCTACAGACTAAGTGTTGGCAGTTTAAGCCCTTGGCACATTAAGACCGTGAAGTCAAACTAATCAGAGATAAAATCCTGCCTGGGTCAATTCATTTGGGAAAAATCACTTTTAAGTTGCTGTCTTTTCAATTGTCACTACGAGTGTCCACAATGGATTATATATAGAAAAAGCAAGTATTTATCAACTTACGTGTTTAATGCAGCTCATCTACATCTACTGCCAGCCAGGGCTGACAGCCGTGATGCTCTCCACAAAGAAAACACACTGGGATACCATCAGCCTCCTACCTTGGCTCCATCCACACTGATAATCCGATAGCTGTTTCTCGTGCTGTCATAGAAGTAGGAAACAGTTACAGCCTGCTTGCTTGCGGGGACCCAGTTCTTCTTCGTGCTGGGGTCAATTTGGAAGACATGGGCTCTGGTGGTGAAGATGGGCTGTTCTCTGGAATAGGGAGGGACAGGAGAAATGGATGCATGAGTCTGCAGAAGATGAAATGTCCCAGAAGCCCAGACTTGACCAGGCAGCACAAAGCTAACTCTTCTTCCTTGTGTTATGATGACTTCATAACCCAAATTTTCCTCAAAATACCTATCACCAGGAAGGGATGCTCTGTGTGCTCACTCTTTCCACATCCACACATTCTGCCAAAAGCACCAACAAACCCCACACAGCTGGCTCTCCTGCTCACTGCTGTGAGTCTGCTTGGGGCCAGGATTGCTCTGCAGAGGTGCTAATGATGCTAGCAAAGCAAAGGCGCGGTATAATTACTGAAATATTAAAGTCCCTGTCATTAAAACTGCACTACTCCGTGGGCAGTTAATCGGCATGAGCAGTAAGGGGGGAAAGAAACAGGCCCCAGGCCCCATGCTGCCTGCCAGCATATGACTGCATCGGGTGAGGTGTGGCCTCCCTCATCCCATCCCTATGCACCATGAGGAAGCCTCATACCCGGTGTTTTCTGCCCTACACACAGGCAACCCAAACCACAAACAACAGCAGAGTGGATGCAGGGCTGGAAGGACAAGGCACAATACACACCAAGGCTTCTAGAGCACAAATAACATCACTTACAGGCAGCAAAACTCAATCACTTTCAAGTCACACCTTTAAGCCAAGTTTAGAATCAAGATATGTTGTTTATATAAATACATATATTAAATACTTGTATGTATTTATGCTTTTTGTTCTTAAAAGCTACAGCATACAATGATATATATTAAGTGCACTATTCAGTATATCTTAGTACATACAAAATGTTTTATCATTGAATTTGACAGAATTCTGACACTATTCAAAAACAACTGTACTACAATAGAGTCCACCACTGTTAACTCCCCAAAATATTTACCTCATCCACACACAAAGCAAATGAAGGCAGACACGTGAAAGGCCAGAGACATCTCTTTGCACTTTACTCTTTCCCACATATACAAATAAATCTCTTAAATTATTCTCAGTCCCATCATTTTGGAACTATGTTTTTATCCTTTTTTTTTTTTTTTCAGCTGCTTTTAAATCCACCTCTTTTTAAAACACAAAAACTTCAAGTACTGCATGTAGGAACAGCATAAACCATCACACACATTCTCAGTCATTACACTTGAATTAAAATTGAGGGGAATAGCTCAACAACACTGTGTGATCTTGCAAAGCCCCACAAGGCCCCAGAAGGGAGAAAATGACGTGATTTTCTTTTTCCTTGCAAGACATATGTAAGGTTTTACATTTTCCAGGGGCTGCCATGCATGTTTCTGGATAGACAGCATGCCGAGCTGCATGAAACACTTCAACAAAATCAATTTAAATTACAAAGGGACTGCTATGTTACAACTATGGAGGAACATCACGTACTGCACCTCTTCCTCACCAGCCACAACGGGAATCTGCCTCCCATTTCCAAAGCTACCATCACTGCCGTCCCTGCCTGGGAGGAAAGCAGGGCAGAGCTCTGTAACACTTTTTTAACACTTCCATCACACGTTATATGGGATTAGCAGCCTAACGTCCTTGGAGGCCATGGGTCTGTTTGCAATAAGGAATGCAGGGAAGGGAGGTTTCCCCCAAGCGATTTATTCCTTTACTCTAAAAATATACACGTCCCCTGAGCGGAGGATAATTTAGAATTTAGCCTTCTACTTAGCTGTATATTTTTAGCAGATTCTATTGTTTTTACTGATAGTAATATGACCTATATATATATCGCAGCCTGAACTTTAAGGAGTTGCAGGCTTTTCCTTCATAGAAACCCAACCCACAAGCAACCTTATAAACACGTTTCTGTTAAGTCACCTTAAAAGTACAGAAAACACTGCTAAATTTATGCCCGGCCTCACTGCAGCAGCAACCATACAAAGTGAATGTGGAGATATCCAATAGCTACAATGCTAACTTGACACTTGTTTGGTGCACGAGCCCCTCTGACCTGGTGGCAATGGGAACATGCAGGTGAGGAGCAGCAGCTCCGCCAGGCAGCTGAGATGAGAGACATAAATCAAGAGACAAAGAACTTATGAATGTTTAAAACTCTCATGAATTTTAAACAAAATTGTTAATGACTGATTAAATACATTTCTCTTTAAGGGGAAAAAAAATCAACTTAAAATCAACTTGACATTAACATCCACCATTTAGAGTAAAGCAGCTTGAAATCCAGCAAATGGAGGTCTAAATTATAGCCAATGATCCTTTGTTTAATAATGCAGATTAAAATAGAGAATGCACTTTGATAAACTGTATTATTAAAGATGGCCAGCATGTTCTATAAATACGATTATAATTTTCAAACCATGGTTTTATCTATTTTAGTTGACTTTTAACATCCATCTCTGGGCTATGTGAGACAAATTCCATGTAAAAAGCAATAGTTCCCCATTACCTAAGAAATATGCTGCTAATCTTCTCATAGGCATTATAAAAGCAAAAGAACAGAGGCTCTAAAGCTCAGTAGCTGCATCCATAGCAGTGCAAGGTGCAGTGCTCCTTTACAGTTGGTAAATAATCACGCAAATTATATGAGTGCGTGTCTTTAAAATGCATCTGGTGCAGGATGCACATGCCTCCAGTCCATGCAGCGGAGCAGTTTTTGGAATGTGATGCTTCCTGCTACAGGCCACCTTCTGCACATGCTGAGATTTACACTGCCTGACAGCTGCGACAGATCTGCAGTGATGTGCTCTAACAAACATTAGATGAGGGTCTTTTGAGAAGGAACAGGGGTAGGTATGAATATAAGATCCTATATTGTGACATACTACTCTGCATCACTGCAACAAGATGCAAAAACACATATTTGCTAAATGCAGCATGATAAGCACTGTGCCAATGGTAATTTGGATCAAGCATCACTATTATTGCCTTTATGACAGTGTAACAAAATGAACCAATCTCTTATATACATATATATTTACACGGAGTGTAATTTGGAGTGCCACATGTGGTTATTAATGACAATGCAAAAATAGGCAACATTGCTAAAAAAAAGAGTTCTGTTCTCCATGGTCCCCATCCAGGCCCTGTGGGACCAGGACTGCACCAGCCCCCAGAGCCACCAGGAAATGCTGGTGCTCCAGCTTCTTAAAAATAGGCAGTATGGATGAGGAGGAATCTGGAGGGCAAGGTGCATGAGGAGCTGCTGACGGCACTTGGTTTGTTCAGCTCAGAGAAGAGGCCTCATGGTGGCCTGCAGCTCCTCGCAAGGGAAAGGCACTGAGCAGCATCAGGCGAGGGTCAGATTCTTCACTGAGAAGGTGGGCCTGTTTTCACACCTCCACAAGACTCAGTTGTCCAAATCTAACCAGAGCTGCAAAAGCAGCTGGGATTTTCAAGTACGCATTATCACCATCAGGTAGCACAGCATGGAGCAGAGAAGAGGCAAAAGCTAAGTGTGGATGTTTTGCAGATGTGATGGCAGCAAACCAGTGTTACAAAAGCAGGCAGCTCTCTACCCTCCCAAATTGGCATGTGCTAATTAATTCAGGTCAGTCAAATTTCATCAGATGCAACACGGAAGGCTGGGCACTGGCTGCCAGCACTCATAGCCATCAGAAGCACAGAGCCTGCTCTGACTTGCAAGACTGCAAAATCGGTATCACGGAGCAGGCAGGTGGTAATGGCTCCATTTTACATCTGAGGAAGCAGCCATAAAGAACGAGATGGCATCCTGGGATAACGGAGCCAGTAGCAAGCCTGGAAACAAAATTAATTCGCCTCATTTCCCATCTGCAGCTTCACTACTGCTAACATCACAGGGTAGTTTGATAGCAGATCTCCCACTCTGGGAAATTTTTGATCACATGACTGGAAAAGCCTAACTCAACAGATGAATATTCACTGCTCGACAGAAGCAAATATTGTAAAAATTAGCAATCTCAGCAGACCTGAGGGATGCTGGCAGAGGTTTCAACTCCTGCACAAACCACATCTGCCTGGCACTCTGCAGTAGGAGGTGTTCTTGCACCTGGTCAGCTCCTGTTGGTCCTGAAATGGGAGCAGGCCTTCTCACACAGCTATTGCCGCAGCAAAAATTACTTGAAAGGATGGAGAAGCAATCCTGAGCAAAACAGGGCAGGCAGAAGAAGGGAAGAGAAGGTATCTGCTGTGTGCAGCAGATGGGTGACCAAGCCCAGAGAGACAGGTGGGATGAACAGGGCACAGCTGCACCCAGGCTTAGCTCTGCTGTTACTTTCCTGCTGCAGCAGTGCTAACTGAGGGGGAGGTCATGCAACTTGTTCAAATGGCCACTGGCATAATTCTTCATTGCTCACTTTGTACTAGTTTCAGTATCAGCTCACCTGCAGAAATGCATTACATTCATGAAAAAGAAAGACATCTTTTTAGCTCCCATCTTTTAAAGTCATTATTATTTCAACAGACAATGTAATCAGCAAAAGTGCTTCTTACATTTGTAGGAAACATAATAGTTCCAGTTACTTAGACCAAAAAAAAAAGAAAAAGAAGAAGAAAAAAGACCAGCTAGCTAAAGAGAAATTTTCTGTCAAAAGCACAGATGTTAATTAATCTCATTTTTGATTAGCAGCTGAGTAAGTCCAAAAGAATAAGTCTTCAGGACAAAAGCTCTCAGTGCAAAAATCACTGCAGAGTCTGGAAGAGCTCACAATACCATTAAGCCTTTATGAAGACAATATATTAATGAAAAGGCTTAAGGTGGACAGTGAAAAAGCTCACACTTTACTTCTGAGCTATCTCCAAGCAGTTATTTGCCTTTTGAGACACTCACTGAATAAACACACACAAGAGGCAGAAGCTGAAAGGACCCTGAACTATTCCACTATAGGTAAGATTGTTCTAAAAATAAAATTAAAATTAAAAATCACACAAAAAAATACCACGTATAGGCATGTGTGTGAAACTGGTCGTTACTCTTGTTATTTCAGAGATTCTTCCTGAAAAGGCATTGAAAGAGAATCCATAAATCTGCATTT